ATAAGGACACCATTACTCTCCTGATGAAACAGGCGACTGTTATTAGAATAATGCGTTTACACTTTGATACATATGCACATGCTTTCCTTTACTTTTACTCTGTGAGGATTAGTGAACTTTGCAAAGAGAAATGTTTCATTGCTGAAATAAAACTCTTATACAGTGTAGTCACACCTGCTACATAGGAGTCCAGGACTTCTCTGTGCCCGCTAATTGACTATTATGAAATGACAAAGCAACCGTTGTATAATCATGCACTATTCATTGCACTTTAACATATAGATGGCCCTATCTACAGAGAGATGCTGATGGGTTTGAACTTTTTCACAGCAGACTTCATGGCTCTAAGCAAACCAGTCTGAGCAGAACTATTTAATATAGCTTCTGGGAGCCCCAGATGCCCTTTTCCAAAACGACTTCATTCCCAGAATCTCATTGTGCTTTCTAAATCACACCACAGTATGTATTAGAAGATCATTAATTACAAACTTAACAAGTCAGCAGAGCCATTAAAAGATCTTTAAGGCATATTTGACCATAAATCTCCTTAAACTATATTTAATGACTGGATTTTTGTGAAATTTTTTTATCAAGTTCTAATTAGATGTGTGATAACAAACCCTGCTGTACATGGGGCAAATGAGGGAGCCATGACAGGCCCATCCATTGAGGCTGTCCACATGTCTGGACACAAACTAATGGAGCCCACTTCTATCTCAGAGATGGCAAAAAGCACTGAGAGATGAGCCTCTAGAGTCCAGTCTGGCCTGCAAATGCAAAGCCATTTAAAGGCTCTTATTTGACTGTAATAAAGGTCCAAAAATGCCTGAGGGCAGTTCCATTAGGGATTATACAGGATTGATCCTCAAATACCTAATGACACCATCACACCGGGCTTGATCATGTTTTGTTACCAAATCTGAACAGTCCAACAGGGTTGTCTGACACATCGACAGAATAAACGCAAGCAATATTTTCTTGCCAGGGCGTCTTACCTGTTAGAATCCAAAATGCATTTTTAAAAAATACACACTAGCAATTTCCAGAATAACAGAAACACTGTAAAATGTAAGAAATATCCATTCCATAATCTTCATCTAACAAACTGTCTAAACTGCTTTCTGAAAAACAAAAAGCAATTGTGAGTGTATGTTTTTTCAAGATGCACAGAAAATCTACCAGTAGAGAGGCTCACACACATGCTCTGTCCACACCTTAGCCTGACTGCTTAAGTGCTCAGCAGTTTCTGACAGTATTCCACTTTTACAGTTTTTCTCATAACTGCTTATTTCAGCGCTCCATTTGTCCATAGCACACTGGTTTGACAATAAATCGATGTTGTAAATCAGCATTAACTTCATAACAATGCCACTATGTCAATGGGGAAAAAGCACAAACTTAAATCTTAATTAATGCAAATTTACATGCTGTCAAAATTTTAAAAACAGATCTCAGCACTACTTTACGTCATTATTTGCTGGGAGCAGTAAACAGAATGTGTATGCATATGCATTGGGTGTAAATATTATTCTCCTGCTGTACTTCTCTCTCTCTCTCTCTCTGGTTTGCCTTTTGCTGACCAGGGGAATTAAGAAGCAAAACGTGGGTTTTAAGAGCGCTCCTTTCATGTCTTGATGTAAGCTTTGGCATTACTTCAGACATCAAGATTGGTCTCATACTGTAAAAATCCTATTCCATCTAAAGTAAAAGCTCGGCAGTAAATCTGCCCATACCTCCCCCATAACACTTCCATAAATGATTCATTCAGCTCAGTTTAGCCGATGCAAAACAGAACGTTAGTGAGTTGTGGATGGAGCCTGAGCTGCAAGAGGAGGAGCAACCCTGCTGCTTAGTAATTTCATCAATCTCTGGGAGAGAAAGAGAGGAGAAAAGAGTAAGAAGAGAATGGTGTACACTAATAATAACTTTTGTGTCACTATCCAGGGGTTGTATTTTTTAATCCCTCAGCCTAAAGAATTGTGTTATTCTAAAATATAACCCCAGCGGTGCAGAAGCAGTTGAGATCCATCACGGTTTGAGATAAGAGTCGGCTGATCTCCTCCCTCTGCACAGCCTCGCCCACAACTACACAGGGAGATAAGATGGAACTTTTGTTTGAAACCTGATGAGAATCCTCTTAATGAAAGTGCTGCACCAAAAATAATCTTTTTTCTCCATGTTAGTCAATCAAGAAATGGTGTAGTTGGGGGAAAAAGAGCAGAAAGAAAAGTAATTTTGCATAATCAGTGAGCACCATCTGGAACAATTAACCAAATTCCACAGAACTCAGAGGATCAGTCATATTGGCTTATTAAAGATCCAGAATTATACAAGTAATAAATCCTTGGAAAAACGAAGCGTACCCCTGCCTGTCACGACTATTTTAACTTCAAATACAGTGGAATACTTGATAAGGCTGAAAAGAGGAGATTAATATATGCAAATTATGTCGAGCATTTAAAAGCCCCCCAACAACTGTCTCGTTTTTTTTTTCCTGTCTGTTATTACAGGGTATAATGTTTTATTCATATAGCAACTCACCTGTCATTTCATAAGCTATAATATTATGAGGGTATTATTAAACAGCATAAAGTGGAGCTTTAATTGGAAAGCTCCATTGCATTTTCCAATTATTTGCAGCAAATTAAAAGCAGATGCACATAGTTTAATAAGAATTCCAATATTGTTTCCTGAAAATCAAAAATCACTGTCATCCTGCCAAGATATTTTGCAAACCCAAGTTAATTTTGAGCCTCCTATTTTTTTTTCCCTCTTCTGAAGAATGAACTGTCTGGTGTCTGTTAATTGAAGTTCCTCTAATGGATAGCGAAATAATTGCTCTCCATATTACGTTAGATCAGGGCCAATGTCAGGATTTATTTTTGATTAATGCAGTAGATATGCAAATGTTTTACTCTTTATTAAGTTTACCTTTTCACCTGGTAAATTTCTGTTGAATACTATATGTTGCTCTGTAGGCAATGAAGAGAGGTAGCAGTGACAGACTGAACATCGCATAGATGTATTTTAGTTTGAGACTTTTTTCAACACCTTGACATTTTTCTTTTTTTATGAAACATAGGCTTTTTAGACGCATTTCATGAACGCAACTTTAATTATCATTAAAATATCCTGCTTTTCTGTCAGTGTGTGAATAATAGACCTAATTGACAAAGGGCCTTGGCATAGATCAAAGCACCACTTTTGAAGAAAAGCAAAATGGGGCTGCTGTGAAAACTTGATAACTTTTCAAATGAGCTTGAACTGTCAAGTGAAAGAGGGCTGCAAAATAAATGTGAAATAGTTTTTAATATTCTGGTAATAAATGTCAAAGCACCTGCACATCACATCTGTACATGATGTGACTGCAGATGACAGGTTTCCCAGACATGTTACCTCTCCTCCCCTCAACTTGCTTTTTTTTTTTTTTTGGTGTTGGGGTTTTTGTTTTGTTGGAAAGTGATGGAGAGTTTAATCAAGAAAGCAGGCAATTCATCAATCCTAAAGAAGGCGCCTGTACAACCCTGACAGAGCGCACATGGTTTTAGACCAACCCGAACCTGGCCAGCTGTCAGCCCACACACACACGTACACGCAGGCCCCATGCACCCACCCACACACACACACACACCAGAGCTACCACTACACTAACAATTAACACAAATAGGCTGTCGGCTACGACCTCACACTTGGCCTGCAGGCTATCACATTGTTAATGAAGGGAAGCTGCGTTCTCTCACATCCACAGTGTGATGCTGTAAGGCTGACGAGGACACCACCTCAAGCTATAAAGAAAGAACCAGCTCAGGCTAACTCCATTATCCTCTTGTCTTTAAAATTCCACCATTTCATGAAGGGACACATAGATGTAGAAGAAAGCAGGAGTCTGTGCACCAGCAAAGGACAGTTTTCTGCCGATAAATAATGACTGCTGGCAGCGCACTGTACAGTATGTGCATGTTCTCCACTGTCACTCAAACCTCGTCCCAGTGGAAGAATCGCACACCAAATGCCACAAGCGATTCAGCTGTGTGTTAACGTCTGCCCCTTCTGTACCACACTTGCACACTTGTCTTGACTAACTTATAATATGCCATAGCAACACAGTGATGTGCTGATCTTTTATGTCAATTAAATGCATTTTTCCTTTTCTTTCTTTTTTTACCTATTTTTTGTACAATGGATTTGATTTGCATTCAAAGACTTTAAAATGAATTTTTTATGTATCCAAAAAGTTCTGTATGATATAGTGTACATTTCAGCAATAGTTTATTACTAGACTTGTATTTAAGAGGCTAGGTTTGATATGGTTATAGTCTGGATGCACCTCTGCTGGAGCAGCAGGAGGAATCCTCACCACATGGTGTCTCTCTCCAGCTGGATAAAAACCTGCCTGCCTCATTCACCGCATGTGGATCACATGCTCTTTAAGGCTAGAGCTTTTCATTGGGCTCCGACTTTGTGGCTTTGAGGCTGTCACAGCTAAGCTCTGCATCCAAACGAATCAGCCTTTCTTCTGTTTTAGACATGGGGTATTGTACTGTAGCTGAGTTTCTCTTTCACAAAGAGAAGGGAATTCATCCAGTTCATGTATGGTACATATGTAAGTATGGCATGTGATGGATCATATTTGACGGCTGTTAAAGGTTCTCTTGAGTGTAATGCAGCGCTCTTCAGGGAAGTCATGTTCGCTCAGATAAGCAAAGCTCTGTACAGCGTCCATCAGTGACGTGGTCTAGACATATAGTACTTGTAGATCAAGTACCAGAGGAGCTACCTTTATGTACTGGTGACGACAGAACTGTTTGTAAAGACATGCAGTGCAGCATAGGAAGTATATGTACAAGTACTGGACTTTTGTTTTCCAAACACAGCGTTTTAAGCTCTGCAGTTTAGGTAATTAATGCATCTTGTGCAAAACAGTGAATTCCTCTGACTGTTTGTACTGACTCTCATAAATGGCACCGACTTGCTTACAGTGAAAGTGTAAGACCTCTTACCTGTCATGGTGTAGATCCCACTGCTCTGGTTTTCACAGTCTGGCCTGC